ACTGTATACATGTCATATCACTATAACGTAGTACAGGGGAGCTGGGATACACATTACTGTATACATGTCCATATCACTATAATGGAGTACAGGGGAGGGGGGATATACATTACTGTGTACATGTCATATCACTATAACGTAGTACAGGGGAGCTGGGATATACATTACTGTGTACATGTCATATCACTATAATGGAGTAGAGGGGAAAAAAAAAATGACACTCACCTAAGTGGATGCAGCATCGTTCTGATATGGCATTCGTCCCCCACCACTACTAAGACTAAGTGATCAAAGACTGCTGATCACTCAGTTCTCAGACTTCAGTGAAGGCGGGGATTGTCAGTCACTGACTCTCTGTTCTGCCCTTCAGCGCTCACTGGGGCAGCTGGGTGTGGTTCTTAGGCTGAGCAAGCTACCAGCCCAGGCATTAGGGTGGATCCCAACTATATGGTCTGGATATTTTCAGAGACTGGACCGCCTCTGTGATGTCAGGAGACCGCAGGCTTTAGCCACGTCAGCTGAAAACGTGTCAAAAGGTGAGCAGAAACGAACTTCACTCCTGTAATCCATAGGGGAGATACAGCCAACAAAGTTTTGGCTATACTTCTCCTTTAATGCCAAAGCAAAGTAGTTCACTGCATGACAGGACCAAGAAAACTGGTCAATATTTTCGATTACAAATCAGAAAATATGAACTTTGGTGATAACAAAAATGTCAGCAGTAAGGGATTTGGGATATTCTGATAATTGAGGATTCCCATATTCAGTTAAGAAGCTAAAAAAATGGCATTAAGGTATGAACTTGTTAAACAGCTCTAGATATGAAATTCTGGATGACAGATTAATACCATAGTTCCCAAACCCAATGTTTAAAACCCGTAGCAGGACCTCCGGTTTTCTATTGAATGCTGGTGTTTGAAGGGCAGTATGACAGGAACTCTACAGCTACTGACCTACATGTTGCTACAGTGTACCCTCTACAGCAGGTATTGTCCTATTATCTTAAGAGTCTACCACAGCAAAGCTCGCATAATTAAAATCATAATCATAATTAGAACAAACATAGCTCAGTCATTTTGAAAGGAATTAAAGAGAAACAAGTCAGTTTTGTTATGTAATCTCTGGTCCATTTTTCATGCTCCAAATTAATAATCCCTTATGTGGTGTTGCACCAGCAGCACCAAACCATGTAAAGGTTTACGCAACAGTTTTTATAAATGTCCAATCGTGTGTGCCAAAATTAATGAAGCATTTGTGCCGATGTTTTAATTTAAAAACAGTGCTAAAATATGCACCATTACGAGAAAGGTTAAAAAACTGTAATGTGGAGGGGTGAACAGTGATGATCACTGCAGCAAGGAGAGGAAAGCGGGGTGTGGAGAGATGGCCAATGAGGTGCAGAAAAGAGAAAAGGAGAAAAATTTAGGATGATCAGAAAATTACCTCAGATTTCACACCGGAGTAAGCGTGCTCAAATCTTGCGCACCACCACCTCACAAAAAAAATGAATTGGCATGCACAGGTTTGTTTAATTAGTCGCAATAAATGCTAATTGAGAGAGGCATATAGAAATTGGCACATTGGAGAATCTCCATATGGGATTTATCTAGGTGGCCAGACCATGGGATGGTAACTTTATGAAGAGTACCCTTTCCTGGCACTGAGAGAAGATATTGCCAATGCAAATAAGAAGAAGTTTTCATCAGCTTTCCAAGCCAAGCAAACAAGAGACTGAACGATTATGAAAATTGCCATTAAAAAACACAAATAACATTCAATTCTACAGTGCAGGTATTAGTGATTTACATGAAGCTGTGTTTACTTTTAATAACCGATGAAATGACCGCAAATATCCTTTTTATCTCTCACCTGCAAAGTAAACATTTTGTTGGGTTGGGAACATTTAGTAATCCAAGCCCCTTTGACTACCTGGAGAATTGGGGTTATTTCAAACAAATAAAGACTGCAGAAAGTCTATTGCTTTCAGGTAGACCCTTTCTGCCAGATTTGAAGATATAAAGAGGATCAAAAGAGGCGCAACCTGAAAGCCACACCTGCATATACAAGTAAACAGACTGTCTCCCATGTCATGTACATACTTAAAAACTAAACATAAAATCAGGGTTTATCATACATCAACACACCCAAAAAATTTTTTTGCATTAAGTGACCCATTTTTTTTTCCATTTAAAGTGGTTGTAAAGGTAAAAAAGTTTACCTTGATGCATTCTCTGCATTAAGGTTAAGGAGAAAAAAAAAACCACCTCTCAAAAGTCCCCCCTCCCCAACAAAGACTGTGAGAAGGAACTGAGCAATGCGGTGTGTCTATAGATGCACATCGCCCACAGTGGACCCTCTGTGCAAAATCATTGCACAGAGTAGGTAAGTGTAACATATGTTCTTAAAAAATAAAATCTTTACAATCACTTTAAAAGAAAAAAAAAATATATATTCTACTTTTATATGAGTTTACATTTCAAAATATTAAGTCTATGCAGATAGGCATTTATAGGCAGGAACATTTGGAGGCAGAAAAAAACCCACAGCCAGAATGTCCAATAGTAGCAGCATTTTAACAGAAAAAACACTTGTAAACGCATTTAAACATGCATTAACGCTAGGTGAGCTTAGCACTTGAGAGTTTATTCATTTCAATGGCTAGACTTATTATTCTGGGCAATTCAATGAATTAACAGCAAAGCATTTGACGCACCTAAACACATTACACGCATTTACAAGCATCAAGCATTTTTTCTGCCAAAATGCTGTTGCTAGGAGGAAAGGTGTCTAGTAGAGACAGCAAAACATCCAATGTGCATAAGGTCTTAAAAACAAATGTCAACATTCAGTCAACATAGCATTAGAACAATGGTAAACCATACAGTGCAAAAGTTTTAGGCAGGTGTGAAAAAATGCTATAAATTAAGAAAGCTTTCAGAAATACAAGTGGTAATAGTTTATTTTTTTATCAACAAAATGGAAAGTAAATGAACAGAAGAAAAATCCAAATCAAATCAATATTGGTGTGACCAACCTTTGCCTTCAAAACAGCATCAATTTTTCTAGGTACCCTTGCAAACAGTTTTGGAGGAACTCGGCAGGTAAGTTGTTCCAAACATTTTGGATAACTAAACCACAGATCTTCTGTGGATGTAGGCTCCCTCAAATTTTCTTCTGTCTCTTCATGTAGTCCCAGACAGACTCGATGTTGAGATCAGGGGCTCTGTGGGGGCCAGACAATCAATTCCAGGTAGGGTTGCCACCTCATCCCTTTAAAACCGAACGCATATTGATTACACAGGTTCTGTGGCTGATTAAGGTGGTAAATAAAAATCACTTGGTGCCTTATGTGCAATAAATTTGCCTCTGAAGCGGTGTAATTAATGTGTTCGGTTTTAAAAGGGATGAGGCGGCAACCCAACTTCCAGGACTCCTTGTTCTTCTTTAACCACAAGCCTACAGGGCACTTATACCCCCTTTCCTGCCCAGGCCAATTTCCAGCTTTCAGCACTGTTGCACTTTGAATGACAATTGTGCGGTCATGCAACACTGTACCCACATGAAATTTTTATCATTTTTTGTGACAGATAGTGCTGTATTTTGGTGGTATTTAATCAACTCTGGGTTTTTTTATTTTTTCTTAAACAAACCAAAAACCACTGAAAAATTAGGAAAAAAAAAAAAACGTTTCTTGGTTTTTGTTATAAAATTTTGTAAATAAGTGATGTTTCTCCTTCACTGATGTGCGCTAATGAGGCTGCAGTGATGGGCAATGATAGGCTGCACTGATGGACACTGATAGGTGGCACTGATGAGGAGGCACTGGTAGGTGACACTGATGGGCATTGACAGGCATCACTAATGGGCCCTGAAAGGCGGCACTGATATATGGCACTGATAGATGGCAATGATTGGCATTGATAGGTGGCACTGACGGGTGACACTGAAAGGCAGCTCAGATGGGCACTGACATGTGGCACTGACAGCTGGCACTGCGGGGGCTACAATGATCATCAGGGCACACTGATCATCAGTGCTCCGATGATCAGTGTACATGTCCCCTCTGCGGAATGCCGATTACCGCCTCTCCTCTCGAGCTGTCAGCGTGACAGCTCGAGAGAAGAGGAATGACGATAACCGGCATTTCCCTGTTTACATGTGATCAGCTGTGATTGGACACAGCTGATCACATGACCGAGCCAACATCTTTGTCTCTTTCCATGGATCGGTGATCCGCTGTGTCCTAGGGACACAGCGCTCAGCCGATCGCCTTGCAGCGCGCTCCGGGAGCCGCGCATGCACGGTTAGAATGGGGAGGACGTCATATGACATCCTCCCAGAACGAGAGAACCACCTTGCGCCCATCATATTACTGTATGGCTGGCGGGAGGTGGTTAAACTAAAGCTACTTCTTAATGACATTGGCTGCATGTTTGGGGTCATTGTCCTGTGGCAGAATACATTTGGGACCAATCACACACCTCAAAGTTAGTCTGGGATTACATGAAGAGACCGAAGGATTTGAGGCAGCCTACATCCACAGATCTGTGGTTAGTTCTCCAATATGTTTGAAATAACCTACCTGCTAAGTTCCTTCAAAAACTGCCTCAAAACAGCATCAATTCTTCTAGGTACACTTGCACACAGAGTAGTCACACCAATTATTTATTTGATTTGGATTTTTCTTTTGTTCATTTACTTTCTATTTTGTTAATTGTTAAAAAATAAATAAACACTAACACCACTCATTTTGAAAGCATTCTTAATTTACAGCATTCTTTTTACACCTGCCTAAACCTTTTGCACAGTTATGTACGTCAAAGAAAATACCTAATTCTTACAGTTTCCATGCATACTCACTTTCGATGCCCTCGTTTTGTTGTCTTTCCGGTGGCTTTGAAAATCTCATCATTGCCATCAGGAACTTTCTCAGTCAGTGTTTTCCATGGCAAGATAAAGTCGGGAGATGGACTGAAATGTTTTAATTCCCCTTGCCCTAAGAGACTCCTTTCACCACAGCAACAAAATGCACAAAGTTGTTCACTGCAAAAAAAAAAAAAAAAAAAAAAAAAAAAGGTTTAATGAAAAAAATACAGGTCAGAGGAAACTATAAAAAACAAACAAATGCAATATACCACTGCAATACAAGCACACCCCCCCTACATATTATCCCCTTTGAAGACCCTGCAAGTACAGAAAATTACTTGTTGATCTATCATAAATGCACTCAGCTCCTATTTTATGGACTCAATGGTGCCAGTCCTGCCCAGTCATCTCTCTCTAAACTACTACATTAAATCAGTATAGGAGCTGGTTCTTTGCATGTTGGCTAAAACATATGCACTTTATTAATAATGGTGAAAAACAGGCTTACACGTTTCAGCCATCAGGCCTTAGTCATTAGGCTTAAAGCAGTAGTAAACCGCTCCAAAAAAATCTCCCTGCAAGTTAACCACTTCAAGTCCGGACACTTTTACCCCCTTAATGTCCAGGCCAATTTTCAGCTTTCAGTGCTATCACACTTTGAATGACAATTGCACGGTCATGCAACACTGTACCCATATGAATATTTTAGCATTTTTTTTGAGACAGATAAAGCTTTATTTTGGTGGTATTTATTCACCACTGGAATATTTATTTTTTTTTTTTTGCTATGTAAATGAAAAAGTCCCAAAATTTTGAAAAAGTGTTTTTCTTATAAAATTTCGCAAATAAATATTTCATCATAAATCTTAGCCAAAATTGATTCCGTTATCTTTTCCGTATAAAAAAAAAATAACCCAAATTAATTTATAACCAAAAATTATAATTTTTAAACTTTTTTTTTACCTTTTTATTTTTTTTTATATATATATTATTTTTTTTTTATTTTTTTTTTTTTTTTTTTAACACGGTTTTTTTTACATACTGTCACCCTAGCAGTACAGTGTCACCATGGTGACACTGTACTACTTGTGGGGGGTGATGAAGATTTTTTTTTTTTTTTTTTTTTTTTTTACACGGATTGCTTTTACATTCATAAAGGCTGTAAAATCAATCATTTCTCCTTCTCTCTGGCTGCATTCTTGCAGCCATTGAGAACTATTGTGTGAGCTGTGATTGGTCACAGCTTGTCAGATGGTACAAGGCTGTTGTGAATAGCCTTGTACCATGTGACCTCTGTGATCATTCACCGATTTCACACATAGTAAGCAATGATGTCAGAAGTGACATCATGCATACTACTCTGCATGTGATCACCGATTGGCCAATCAGTGATCACATGATCTGGACCTCACACAGAGGTCCCGTATGACGATCGGTGTTCCACTGTGTCCGGAGGAGACAGCGGGCACCGGATCAGGGAGCGCGCACAAGCAAAGGGTGGGGGAGGCCTTTTATAAACGGCCACCCGACCCTGCACTGCCACCATCCGCCCGTTTATATACAACAACGGCCAGACAGGAGGTGGTTAAGAGTATAATGTGTTAGTATGCATCGCATACTAGTACACTATGAAAGAATTACCTGAAAACAAAGCCCTCCAGCGGAGTGCTGACACAGCTCCCTGAGGCTTCAATCTTCACCTGGTCTCCTTTCCAGGTTCGCGAGCTGCGGCCATCTGATTGGCTGAGCTGCGATGGTGTCACTCCCATGCATGTACGTGGGAGTTTTGGCCACGGGATGGCTCACTCAATGGACGGCACACTGTACCAACTACTAGATCACTCCCACTGTTCTTATCGCCACAACAAAGGTATTAAAGGTACCCTTTGATGCCAAAGCCATTTCTTTCAAAAGTTTCAAGTGGTAATAAAGCATTTTTTTCAGGTTTTACTTACAGGTAAGCCTTTAATAAGGCTTACCTGTTGGTACAGTAAATATCTCCTAAACATACACAGTTTAGGAGATATTTACTTTAGAAGTGCCAGTGCCGTCACCGGTGCATGCACACTGTGCGCTCAATGGACGCCGTGCCCTCCATTGAAACAGCCACTCCGCGGCCTGAGACTCCCACGCTGAGACTCCCACAGCTCGGCCAGCCAATCGGCCGGAGAACAGGTGAAGATGGAAGACCCGGGGAGTCGAGACAGTGCTCCGCTGGAGGGCTTGGTTTTCAGGGAAGTCTTTCATAATATGCTGTTAACTTGCAGGGAGAAGAGTTTTTTAGAATTTTTTTTTTTTTTTTGCGGTTTACTACTGCTTTAAAAAATCATTTTAGGCCTGAAGATCAGTTAACAAAATCTAATTTCAATATAAAAGGTAAAACGCTGTCTATTTTCATTGAGTATATATTGTGTTATTACTGCAATGTTTACCTCAACATCATTTTTTATTACTTTAGCATTTTTAAGTGCTTGTGCTTTTTATGTTATTGCATTACTGCTGGAATTTAGGAGAAAAAACACTACAATGCCTAGCAACTGCTGAGATAATATATTTGTGCATGGTTTTCAGTCCAGTCAGTCAGTCTGCAGGCTTTTTTAAAGGAAGCAGAACCATTGTGAAGTGAAGCAAAGCTGGAAGCAGAACCTGCACGTGTAATGAAGAAATATGGCTGCCTCCACATATATATAAATTAAACGGCACAAGGAAAGATTTTAAAATGTACATTCCATACATTAAGCTTGTCTCCTTTTACATTTACAGCTGAAATGAACAAAAAAGAAAAAAAACATCCCCTTTACATCACATTCTACAAAGATGTGTATCACCAGAGCCAGGGACATAACATTTCCAGAAAAATAGATTTGGCCATGCTTTCAGTTCAGCATTCCTTCTTAAAGTGCATGTCACCCCCAAAAAATGTTTTTGTACATTGTTGCAATACATGTATATTTTCCCATGTTTTATCCCTTTAAATATGCAGCAAGTACAAAAAAAAAAAAAACCTCTTGGTTTGCCAGCAAAATAGTGTGCTGCAACTTTTTGACATAAACACAGCTCTGAATTTTTAAGTATGTGTTGTCAGTCCAGCCGACTTTATTTCTGATTAATTACAAACAACACAGACTTCTTCACATCCCGCATAGGTGACGGAAGGAAAGGTACAGGTTTGTCATTCCTTTAGCGCGCATGCACCGGTGACGTCACCGGCTGCTGCTCGGCAGAATATCTCCTAAACGGTACACACTTAGAAGATATTCACTTTACCTACAGGCTAAGCTTGTAGGTTGTAGGTTTAACCTGTAGGTTAAAAACAGAAAACAAGAGTTTACTTCCACTTTAATGCAAACCCCTGCCTCTTAATTTACCTTTCAGCTCATTTTAATTTATTGCACGCAATGGGCAAATGTGATACACTAAGACAGACCACAAACAAATTCCCCCCCCCCCCCCCCCCCCCCCCAAAAAAAATAAGATTCAATACCCCCATCAACAGGCTCAGGGTTGATGGGGGGGTGTAATCCCTCTGGCAGAGCTATTGTAAGTTCCCCACTGTCAGAATACAATGGTCAGTGTTGCAGGCTATAGCCAGTGCAGTGACCTAAGAACAAAAAAACCCCCAACAGAATAGTTGTAAAGAAGTCAATCAAGAGGTAAACTTCATTAAAAACCAGCCTGCCTATAAATAGCTCGAAATATGGCCGATGCCTGCTGAAATTTCAATCCATCTATAGCTGGCTTTACTTCTATCCTGTTTTACCAGTTTCATATACCTCTGCTAATGCTCACATGGTCTCTACCAATATATCTAGACCTAGCCACTTATTTGCCATATTTTTCTAAATTGAGCACTGCCCTCCCCCCCCCCCCCCCCCCCCCCACCCCGTGTCCCTTTGACAAAAAGCAAGTGGCCTAAAAACATCCAGGTTCTGATTTAGTTACATTAATTTTTTTTTTTAATTCTAAAATCAAATCATATAAAGAAGTCCTTACAAAGGCCCTTTCTGATTTTCTCTGTTCCTCTTACCTAAAACTTAAAGCAGTAATAAACCGAAAACCAAATATGTAATGTATAGCAGCTCACTAATCATTAGATGGGGTGGCTGCATTCGGTTTGTTTTTAAGGCTTTTTCCCCTCTGTTTTCACCTGTTGATCTGGTAAAACACCTCCTGAAAGTGCCTACACTCTTGTTGAAGGAGCACAGGGCTACCTTTGGACAGCAGCATTGTCAGTCTGGGAGGAGGGGAGTTTTAGACTAGCAGATACACTAGATACACTAACAAACTGAAGACAACCTCCAGCTGACACTGCAGTTATACGAGAAGTTACAGCCACCTAAATAAAAGTGTGCCCCCACGGCAGGTGCCGTCTCCTTAACAACCAGCGACTCATCCCTGCTGTCAGAGCAACGATGAGTCACTGGTTGTTAGGACACCAGCAGATGCTGGCTCCTTAAACACAACCAGCATCTGTCAATGACCAGTCTCCTTCCCCCTACAAATAAACACAGTAGCACAAAAAATCTCATCAAAAATGCACCAATGGCGCACTACAAAATTGTACTGAAAATCTAATCAAATTGCAGCTGCAGTAGTGTGAACTGAGGCTAAAGCATAGAATTGTCGTGGGTTTTCTTCCCCCACACTTGTCCTCTCATCATTTCCCAGACTCTTTACTGTACATGCTTCCATTTATAAAGCTGATATTTATTGCAGTGTGAGTCTCCCTTGGGGAAAATTTCCCCCTACTGTTTTGTGAGACAGACATCACAGGAAGTGAGGGAAAATCCCACTAGTGAGGTCCAATCTTTACCAGACCGCACTTGCAAAATATCACCACAACAACCAATCCCCAGCTGCGAAAGTAAAGCAAAACAATGGCATTGCCCTTTCCCTGTGGGTTCCTCCTAAACTAGGCAAGCTTTGCTACTGGACCTCTGATACAAGAATAAAAACAGATAAAACAACCCAGCACCCTCATGGATTTTGGTTATCAGGTAGATTTGTAGTGGCTTGACATAATTATGGACTATGGAGAGTCAGACATATCAGCAAGACAACAGATCTATTAGGAAACAGAGAATACTTATGTAATGAGTAAATAGACTGTAAGCTCCGCGCAGGACCCTCCTATTCCTTCTTTATTGAACTGTATTGTAATTGTGCGGTTTCCCTTT